TTATTTGTGCATACATTGTTTAATAGAATTAACTATCTAAATAACATTAAATAAACAATTTGTTGATCACTTCCAGAACTAATACTTTGGGACATGATTAATAAGACATTAAACTGTTGATATATAGTGAAAAAAAAAATTGGATTTTTAGGCAATTTTTTGAGCTACCATATTTTATAGCTCCTTTACTCAATACTGGTCTGTGCGACAACTTAACCATTTTGCCACGACATGCCTCATATTAGTTATCAACCACTCCCTCATAAAAAGATATCTAGAATAACATGTATGTATCACACCTGATACCATTCAGTTACTAGTTATTTTTTTCATTTATACCTAATAGCTGAGTGGGCGAGCAGTATTGTGCTTTTATTTTTTTTTGTATTGGGTTTGTTCAAACCCAGCCAGAGTTTGGTTTAATTGGAGTCTGACAATGTTTGTATCCGTATGTGTCCGCTATGTGTTGTAGTTAATTTAAGTAGCGCTGCACTACGGCTGCCGGGGTTTCCAGGGGCCCAGCCCTAATTTCCAATTTGAATGTGGACCAATAAAAAGAATTATTTATATTATTAAAAGGAGGTGTCAAGTTCTCTGACATCAACATCACCACCATCAGCCACCAAACATCATCTCCCAGTACCAACAATGATGAGGGAGAAGCCTAAAGAGAATGTATTTGCTAGCCTTGGTGTCAGGCCTAAACCAATGTCACACCCACATTTCCGTAAAGACAATCAGGAAGAAAGGCTGAGCAACAGCAGTAAAATGACCTCCGAGGAGGATGAGCGAGTTCGTCGTCACGTCCATACTCATCATCATTTTCATTCATCAGATGGTAGGAAGCTGTTTTTGATTGTAAATTTTTTTTTTTGTACTATATTTGAATAAAAAATCTATAGCCTTTGTTCAACTTGAATTTGATTTGAATATAGTTTGTATTTCGTATTAAGCCTGCATACGTGTAAGCTACATCTTGTTTGTTCATTTTCTACAATAGTTCATTTTGAAATTGTATTCCAGAATAAATAAGTGCCAGTTACAATTTTATCATAATCCATTTAATCTTGTTTATTATATCTATAGTTGTTTGGATATTTTTACAGATGGGCAGAAATTTCTACCTGAAAGGGATGGAAACATAGGTAATAGGAGCTCAAAGGCATCGCATACACTAACCTGTCCACCGCCTGCGAACGATATGGATGAACAACCGATGCCTTCAAGGTATTCCCACTCATTGCAGCACTCAGACAATCCTAGAGATATGGATCAGGATGATATCGGTTCAAGACTGCGCCAGTCCTTACCACTACCAAGGCATACAGCACGGACTAAAAGTAGACCAGTCGGTTACAATTTGAGAAGCCACAGACAGGTTGGTGGCATAGAAACAATACTGCTAATGGCTACTTAAAAGACCCTGATACAAACCCTGGGTCTGTATTCCTTTCTTTGACTTTTAGGTGGGGTTACAAATAGCATGTGTCCCAAGTCTCCCGGAAGTCGCGGAAGTCTCCCAGAAATGGGACAGCCACATGTTTTACCTTAAGGACCAGACTAATAATGGACCTTTCCACTAAGCCCCGCCCCACAAAATGACAATGTAAAAACATATGCACACATGCGTTTGTGGGACATGAGAGTATTCCTAGCTTTGTTTTGATTGCCACTCCCAAAGGTCCATTGAATTACTGCTACACTACCCGTCTTTTTAATTTAGGATGAGGTTTCTGCTGCGAGGGCATCAAAACTGGTTCCACAACGAAGAGTTGCATTTACTGTCAAGGACCAGGATGATTTTCATATAGATGAGATAGCAGATGAAGATGAGCTTATGGATGACCTGGACAAAGAAGTCATATTGCAACAATTAAGAGAGAGGCTTATAAATAGGAGATCTAAACACAGGTATTCACTGATTAACTCTCTAAATATTTATTCATTCATTCGTTGATCAATTCATTCATTTATTTATTAACATTTGCTCCCCCACCCATTCCCTAATATTGTGGTCTAAAAGCACAAATTGGGCCATATTAAGCCATGAAAGCTCTCCTGTGAAACCCTACAAGGGATGCTTTATTCTGGGACTCGGACCGAGGCTTTATTCAGCCCCTTCGTTTGGACCCCCCATCAGACATGTCGGACCCCCGTCGGCAAATTCCTTGAGCCACACCTGACTGTAATTTAGATCCAGTAAAGATGACGATACATAGATTTAGTTTGATAATGTTTAATGATGATGATAATGAGAATGATTTACATTGATAACAGGCTAAAGATAAAATCTATGTCTTCAGAGTTACGAGACAGTCATCAGATGAAAGTGATAATGACAGATTTAGATACTATTTAGACTTATAGATTTAGTTTATTAAATGATGATAATGGTTAGTGATGATAATAATGAGGATGATTACAATGATAACATGCTAAAGATCAAATCTATGTCTTCAGAGTTACGAGACAGTCATCAGATGAAAGTGATAATGACAGTGATATATCGCAGCATAGTGACAGTATCATCGACTATGATGATAATCCAAGTGCTAAGCGATACCGAATGTACTCACCCAAGCGTGAAAACCAAACAAGAAGCTCTGTAGTGAAACCAATACTCAAGAAAAATCACGTTCATTTTGATGATGCCTTGGAAGAGGAGGCCAAAGGTCAATTTGGTAAAATCCGACGCAGTATCAGGAAAGAAGGAGTAAGTCACCAGAGAAAAACAAAGGTAGGAGGATTTATTATTTATTATTCTTTAAGTATTTAAAAAAATAATACCTATTACCCTAAAATTCAAGCATAAAAGATAATTTTTCCCCTTTTTCACAGCCAAAAATAAGTATTCATTAGTGGGAATGTCCCCTTATCAAAGATACACCAAGGAAGGGTTCTGTATAATATAAAATGGATGAAGCCAAAAAATAGTATTAGAGTATACTTAGTAAGTTAACATTAATTTTCATAAAGAGCACATTTTATATGTCACCGTTTATACTGACAATAGTAACAAATAAATAGTGCAGTTTACTATTTAGTGTAGTGTAGTCTAGTGTACATCAGCACTGGTTGACAATGTCCTTGAGAAATGCAAGTGTTTTCAATCACGATGAGAATGTGCATACATAAAAAAGTGGGGTTTTTTTTTTTTTTTTTCAAATAAAGGCAATGAGAGAAGTGTATGCCAACCACTTAGAACACTTGGAGACTGGTCAGAAAGAACTTATTGATAAAAAGAAAAAGGCTGCTGGACTATTGGTAAGATAACAAGATTAGGATATGAGACAGCTTTACAAAATTAGTTTAGTAATGAATATGGAAAACAAGTTATTGATGTATTCAGAGAGTTTAATTTAAACAACATTTTAGACTTCAATGTTGAAAAACATATTTTGGAAAAAGTCGCCTCATAAACTGATAAATATCTTCTTCATTTTTTATTACTATAAATTATTCAAAAAGAGTCAATACAGTAGATACAATACATATATATGAAAATATATTTCAGGATAAGAAATACAGACAAGTACATCAAATTCCAAAGATGAAAAGATATTGTGCTGCCAAGAAGTATGCCGGTAAGACATCTTTTGATACCATTCTCCAAACAACTACAGCACCCAACTACTCCTAAGTTCTCTATTAATCATTCTCTTGACCATTTTGGTTTTCTTTAAACAAATATTAAAAATATACTTACTTCTTTGTTCTTAGCACCATCTGTTGTTGATCTTCGTAAACGAAGGAAGGTCAGAGGTCAAGTTGGAAAAAGGAAACGCAGTGCATCATCAAGTCCAACTCTTAATAGGAACAGAAGACCACGTAGGTTTAAAAAATATATATTTTTCGCAAGTATGGCACCATCCATCAAGTATTATCCTTGATCATTAATGCTCATTGGCCTCATGGTTTGGAATCTAATCTACAATTGTTAATGAACATCAAAATCACAAACATTTTGAGCAGCTTAGCTCAGTCGGCTAATCTGGTGGTATCCACTGTGTGTGCGCTGAACCGTAGAGATCTCTAGGTCCACGGTTCAATTCCTATCGCTGCCATTCCTTGTGTTTCAGCTGGAGAGCTAAAATACAAGTTACAATAGCACACCGTCTTTCAGATGAGACGTTTAAGCCGTTGGTCCCGTGTGCATTTATGACCCATGTGCACGTTGAAGAACGCAATAAATAGTAGGGGATTGTCTCCCAGTGTACTGCCCAATCACCACCAGAAGGACCCCACTGGAAATGAGTCTTCTAAACCTTCGTGGGCTATCCTTGGTGTTTACACCAAATAAATCCAATCCAACATCATCACCATTAAAAATCATACCATCATTATCATCATCATTATCTATATACCTTCCAACTTTGCTAGCATCTGATGCATGAGACAAATAAATGAAATTTGTATATAGCGCCCTCTATGTGAAAATCACGAAATAGAACGCCATCTATGTTTTTTTTTAATTGTAGTGAATACTGAATAGTGATCGAACTGCTACTGATTACAGTCGTCGGTCAGTAAAGCTTTGTTCAGAAAGTTTATTTGGCCTGTATTCACATTTTAATGACAAATTCACTTCATTTTCATGAATTTATGGTATAATCAGCCTGTACATTGTATCTTTTATAAAATTTTTATGATGCGTGAGATATAATACAACGTACACGTGAGACGTAAGAAGTGGATGCTCATGTTTGATACCCACTTGATGGTACCCTTCTACTGGGTGGGGCTTTGTGGAAATGCCCATTACAAAAAATGTTACAAGCTCATCTGTTCACAATAATAAAATTTATATTAACATTTTTGTTTTGCCTCAGTTGTGATTGAAGATGATGAAATGTTGCCAACGGTGATGTCTGAGTTCCCGATGCTGCATGTTTCACCGCATACGGCGCATAATATGTGGTCAAAGCAGATGCGCCAACTAGAGCAACTGACACAGTCGGGAATTAGCAACACTAAGAAAACCAGAACACAAATGAAGGTATATCAACAGCCAGCAAACTTTTGTCGTTTGGATTTATTTATTTATTTTATTATATGTCAACAATATTTTATGAGAGTGGACCATCCAGCCAGAACTGATAAGTTGGGACCCACAGTACATACAATAAAAGACAAAAAAATACAAATTAAACTAAATCTTTAACATAAACAAATTGATATTTTAAAACAAAAAGTGAAAATCAGAAAATATTTAAAAAATTAATTTTTTTGATTTAAGGAAAACATTAAAAATATTAACTAAATGAAAAATAAAAACTAAAATTGACAAATTAAACAGAAAAATAATTGAAATAATAAAGTATTCAAGAGAATTAAAGAGAAAATAAATAATTAAAACTAACATAAATAAAAATATCCCGAAATAAATAGATTTATAAAAGATATCAGGGTTATGAGAATCTATTGTCATATCTTGTGTTGGCTGGAATTTAAAGTTATTAATTCAATCATACTTGCTTCACCTTTATAGCAAGGTTTGAAAGAGGCATCCAAAAGAGATATTTCAAAGAATGCTATGAAAAATCAATATTATCAATCAACTGCTTATTAACGAAAGCTTAGATTTGCCATATGAAATAATATTTTTCAATGTGTTTAATATGGCAATTTAACCTTATTTAATGAATGATATAGGCATGTAATTTGGGAAGCTGTCACTTATTACCCTACAGTTAATAATAATAACAATGCCAAATGATTATATAGCACCAATTCCAAATTGAATGATCAAAGGTGCTGAATGTTATTACCTCTGGTCACTGGATAACATAAAATAGCAAACCAGCAAAAAGTGCAACCTTCTCTGCTCCCTTACCTGGTTAGTATTCTTACTTGGGGAGTATTCTTAATTGTGCGCTTGTACTAGGTCCCAGTGGTGTATCTAGGGGAGGGCATGGGGACGCACGCCCCCCCCCCACAAAAAAAATCATGGTCAAGTAGTTAAAAATAACCTAAAATCACCATATTTTGCAAATTAGGGCCCCCTCAACTGTTCAAGCCCCCACTTCACCTTCGCGCCCCCCCCCCCCCAATTCAAGACCTCTAGATACGCCACTGCTAGGTGCACGAATCTAATACATTCAATGCCACAACATCCTACCAGGTACCCATTTATACTTCTGGGTAGAGAGAGACAAACATAGATAAAGTGCCTTGCCCAAAGACAATCTACTTTCACAGCGAGAGTTTCAAACCCCTGACTGCAAGGTTGTGAATCCAAGCCACTACCCATGCGCCAATCTCTTTTACTTTTATTAACTTGAGCAAAAAGCAACCAGACTTTCAAATAGTTGTTCTTTCTTTTAGATGGAAGAAGCAGAGAAGCGCCAGGAACTTCTACTCGGAATTATGCAGAAAGAGCTAGCTTACAACAGACGCATGGTATTATACATAGACACCTTTCATTTCATTTATTTATGGGTACAAACAGCCCAGGGGCTGCATCAGCAACAGTGCGCCATAACACCACAAGTGGTATCCGCAGCCCCTGGAACATAAAACAGAGTATAATAAAATTTACCTTATTAAAATATGTGCAAGAATTACTTAACAATTATTCAAATTTTTTAAAACATTAGAATTTGTATAAAACATTGAGAATATACAGTACAGTGATAATTAATTTAAAATAGTAATATATAAAAAAGTACAATTGCACCGTTAGAATTTCGAAAATTAGATTAAACTTATTTCATAAACTATGAACGACTATTATCAACATTTACATTACAAAAGTTCACTGTTTTGTATATCATTCGCCCTTGTGCCTCCTATAAACAAAATTTGTCAGCTGATTGTTTTCCAATTTTTTTTCATCTTGCAAATTTTGAATCTTGTGTCAACCATTTTCTTTTTAATTATGCTAACCCTTTACATTGAGTGGCATGTGACACTTTGTTTGGGTTGACTGATCATACAAAAAAAAAAAATACATTTTAAAATTTAAAATTTCATGCATTTATGATATATGTAAACTGAAAGTATAATGTTTGAATGCACCTTCCAGAAAGATATTAGGGAGAAGAGGGAGCATGAAAAAGCAATGAAATTGAAGGTACAGGAACAACGACAAGCAACTGCAAGAGCACGACGTTACTATGACCAGTTCAAAGTACGCGCAAGTGCTAGGATGTTAAGGAGAAAGAACAGAGAAGAGCAGGTATTGCTAAGCTTTGGTGGTTTGCAATGCATAGTTTAATTGGAACAATGTGCATTTCACTTGTGTCCTTGAGCAAGGCACTTGCATCTGCATTGCTTCTTTACACCTAGGAGTATAAATGGGTACCTGGTATGGTTAATGCCAAAATATGCTGTTAGCTGCTGCAACATTATGGAATGTTCACTAGGGAAGCTGAGTTTGTGTTCCATAGGCATTTAATCCAATGACCTCCAGAGTAATAATATTACACATAGAGGGCTTATAATGTGCTATATAAGTCTACCGTTATTATTATTATTATTATTATTATTAATATTATCATTATTATTATTATTATTATTATTATTATTATTATTATTATCATTATTATTATCATTGTTATAGTATTGTTATTATTATTTTTATTATTATCAATATTATTATTATTATTATTATTATTATTATTATTATTATTATCATTATTATTATCCTTATTATTATTATTATTATCATTATTATTATCATTGTTATTATTATTGTTATTATTATTATTATTGTTATATTAACAAAAATAAACATGGTTTGACACAATACATGGATTAAGGCTGCAACATTATCGAATACTCCTGCAAGCATAGAGCCAAGAAATTATTTTATAGGAATTTGGTCCATTCCCTGAAGTAATAATTTTAGGCATAGAACTTGACTTAGTTATAAAATTGTTCAATTCTGTGTATTCTTTAGATATTTAAGAAGTTGTTTGAAGATGGCTTAGAGATCCAAAGGAACCGTGTAAGGGAGCTTCGGAAGTATGCAAAGGAAAAACGAGAAGAAATGGCCGTCCAGCAGCAAAATGAAATAGAATCATTAGAAAACTAGTATCCTTTGAATAATTCATTAACATGCATTCGAAGAGTGGGAAACTTAGTGTTTCAACATTTAAGTTCATATAGTAAAATGTTAATGGCCTGATGATATGAAGCTTGCATCATTGACCGAAAAATGAAAATTTACTTTTTACTGTAATATATTCTTTATTTCCACATTGCAAGTTTAAAATGATGGGTCATTTCCTGGAATCGATTTATTATTTCCAAAGTAAAAGTATTGACTTCTCTGTACTAATGTATACAATACTGCCACATTATTACGCGAATTGCTCAGTTAAACAATTAGTGACAGTAGACAAGCCTTTAAACACACTCATGCATGATAATTATAATAGGGCAAATTGGCGACACACCGTTGTAAGGCTCATGGCTTCGATAAGCCGTATCGGCCCAGAAAGGAGGAGGGACACAAGCCTCATACTCAGTGTGTGTTTAACTATTAATGATGATGATGACCATGATAACAGCTGTAATAATAGTAACAATAACAATTAAAATATTGTAATATTATTTGGCGCTGTTGTATTTCCCTTTGCATCAACAATCCTCATACTCAGTGTGTGCTAACTATTAATGATGATGATGACCATGATAACAGCTGTAATAATAGTAACAATAACAATTAAAATATTGTAATATTATTTGGCGCTGTTGTATTTCCCTTTGCATCAACAATCCTCATACTCAGTGTGTGCTAACTATTAATGATGATGATGACCATGATAACAGCTGTAATAATAGTAACAATAACAATTAAAATATTGTAATATTATTTGGCGCTGTTGTATTTCCCTTTGCATCAACAATCCTCATACTCAGTGTGTGCTAACTATTAATGATGATGATGACCATGATAACAGCTGTAATAATAGTAACAATAACAATTAAAATATTGTAATATTATTTGGCGCTGTTGTATTTCCCTTTGCATCAACAATCCTCATACTCAGTGTGTGCTAACTATTAATGATGATGATGACCATGATAACAGCTGTAATAATAGTAACAATAACAATTAAAATATTGTAATATTATTTGGCGCTGTTGTATTTCCCTTTGCATCAACAATCCTCATACTCAGTGTGTGCTAACTATTAATGATGATGATGACCATGATAACAGCTGTAATAATAGTAACAATAACAATTAAAATATTGTAATATTATTTGGTATAAGGGAGCTTCGGAAGTATGCGAAGGAAAAACGAGAAGAAATGGCCGTCCAGCAGCAAAATGAAATAGAATCATTAGAAAACTAGTATCCTTTGAATAATTCATTAACATGCATTTGAAGAGTGGGAAACTTAGTGTTTCAACATTTAAGTTCATATAGTAAAATGTTAATGGCCTGATGATATGAAGCTTGCGATGCACTGTTGTAAGGCTCATGGCTTCAATAAGCCGTATCGGCCCAGATAGGAGGAGGGACACAAGCCTCATACTCAGTGTGTGTTTAACAATGATGATGATGACCATGATAACAGCTGTAATAATAGTAACAATAACAATTAAAATATTGTAATATTATTTGGCGCTGTTGTATTTCCCTTTGCATCAACAATCCTCATACTCAGTGTGTGCTAACTATTAATGATGATGATGACCATGATAACAGCTGTAATAATAGTAACAATATCAATATTACAAGCAGGTTTAAATGCCTTAGAAGAACAAGTAACTCTTCTAAAATTATAATAATCTTATTATTATTATTATTATTATATTCAATATGTACAGTATATTTTAACTGGAACTATAACAAAGAAATTTTTTTTTTTCTTCTTTTTTCTTTTTTTTTTTTACTTTATGCAAAGTAATACTGCTCTATTTTTGCGTAGATCCATAAATTGGGAGGTAATTAATTTTATGATTTTGTAGCAAAACACTTGTTTTTTGAGTATATTTTAAATAAATTATATAATGTTTATTACTGTTCTTATTTAAACGGGAAAACAGACTCTAAATGAAATGATGATGACTGTTTCATTTCAATGTAAATATTGTTGTTATTACAGTGTACCATTCTGTTTCATTGGTATTATTGATGTTATTATTGTTTATCATTATGACAAATTTTATTCCCTCATTTTAGTGCTCATTTGTTACAGAAAAAAGAAGCCTTAGAAGCCATTATTTCCTTTAAAAATTGCCTGAAACTCTGCAGACTTACTGTAGGCATTTTTTTGGGGGAAATAATAGCTCTATTTTTTTATAGGGTCCTCAGACCTTGACTATAATTGCATACTGTTGTTCCTTGACCATTCAACTCAGCTACAGCAATCAGTTTGCAATGCTGGCAGAGGCCATTGGTCAAGAGAGACACGATCTACAAGTACGAGACAGTGCCCAGGCAAAAGTAAGATGGAGCATTAAGAAAACTCATAGTCAAATTGCATGCATAAGCTGGGCACTCATTCCGTCCTGCGATGCTGATTTACGGCGGCAGTCTGAACAGATCGTAATTAAAAACAGTTGCAACAATTAAAACAATGCTGCCTCAGTCTGAACCAGAAACAATAGCTTTTTGCCAACTGCTCAGCTCAATTTTTACTTATTTTAATACATATAGTGAATAATTTACATGCCATATCTGGACATCCTTTAATACTAATAGAAAAGTCAATTTTCATATTCCTTGTCTAGTTTGGAACTGGTAATATAATAAAAATTTTAAGAATTATTTACCTTCTCTTTTATTTCATAAAAGGTAATGAAGCAGATGAAACGTGAACTTCGTCGCAAAATGGAAAATGAGATCAGGGAATTCCAGGAAAACCTTTACAACGATGAGGATCGCGAATACTTCCGGCAAATAGAAGCGGATCGAATGAAGCGGGAGTTACAGATTGCTGCCTACAAAACCACACTTTGAATGACGTAAAGGGTGTAGAACTGCAAGACATCTAACTCTCAGGGTTTTATTAGAACACAATCCTATCTCAAAAAAAGCATTATCATGAACTAGAGGGCGTCCTTCAAAAGAACGTAAACAGCCTATCTTGTGGTATTATTGCATGCGTACAAAAGCAGTCAGACCTCTTGCAGATTTATACTCTTTGAAGACATAAAGAAATCAGTTAAATCATTTAGTTTTTTTCTAGTAATATATATAACTCTGTTTTTGTTGATAAATTCATTATTGTACATTATAATAAATGGCAGCAGTGGAAGTAGAAGATAATGGTGATGAACATACAATTTTTGTTATTTGTAACAGCAGAAATAAATTTGAAAATTAAATATGTATTCAAATAATGTCTTTTTTTGGTTTGTATTTATTCAGTGTGAACACCTTTGTTCACTGGGAGACAATATCCTTTTGTTTTTTTTTTGTTTATTTTTTTTTAGAATCATAATCTATATAGCGCCTATGACAGTCCGGGGAATATACAAGGCACTGGCATCATTATTTCCCTGGTCACTGGATACTTATTTGGCAAACCGGCAGATTTGTGCAAATTTCGTTGCTCCCTAGGGAGTACCCCTAGTCCTGGGGCAGTGTAAGGGTGCGATCACACCCCCACCCCCTCCACAATTTTCACACCTCAGCCCCAACCATGGTGGCTGTTTGGTTGCAATGGTGAATTTTTAGGCATAAACACAGTGTCAACTATTATAATTAGGCGAGACTTATACCTTGTATAGAGAATCAATAATCAATAATGATTTAAAATAAAAATAAAATTTTATTTTTGACCAATTAGCACAACCACCATCTCCAAAAATAAGATGTGTATATTTCTTCCCAATTATATAAATTTAAAGCATTTTATCCCATTACTACACTGTGTACATTCACCAATAAAATTTTATTTTTATTTTCTTCTCCGTGTGGATGTTTTTGGCAAAACTATTTGCTAAATAAGAGATCAAAAATTTTTTTTTTCCACCTTCTTCGGACAATCTTTAAAAAAATAAATTTGCAAAACAAGGTATAAAAAGTCTCGCCTGTCAATTGATGGTTACACATACCAGCACCACATTCTATTACAAGATAACTTTTTTAGTGTCCTGAGTATGACATCATAAGCTGCATCCGGTCGATTTGTCAGCCACTAATCCGGCAACCCCATTTGGCGGTCTTAGTGACCGCTGATGGGAGGGTGGATGGACACACAGCAGCATGAAAAAAAAAAAAACAGCTGAACAAAGGGCGGAGGAACTTCTCATAGCCAACCATGCCTTAGTTTAAGGAGTAGGTTTTTTAGTTTCAAAATGTCACACTCAAAGAGCTCAATCACCAAGCGCATAGAGGCTTTTTCGCATGATGTGCTATACAAATCCAAATATTATTATTGTCAAATTAACAGGGAATTTCTTTTTCTCATGGCAACACCTAAATACTACAAATATAAAATACAGCAAACAATGTAAATATGATGCATTGATTGGCTGGGTATTCTCAGGTGTTATTTAATAACATGCATATAGGCCATATTGCCTTAAATCATATTTTTAGAAAAGTGTTGAAAAATCTTCTAACATTTCAGAGGGTCGCGAGACTGCTTCTAACATTGGTAAAGTGCATTTCGAAATGATATGCAATACTTGCAGTATTTGGCTGACTGGGCTTCACAGAATGATTATCAAAATCATTATGATACCCCTGGGGTGGATCGAGAGGTGTGTGGTCAGTGATGTTCCGGATAAGACAGTTCCCTACATCACATAAACTTATATACAGGTGTGCCTTTTTTATCTGGACCCATCCCACGGTACTCGCAGCCTCGCAAAAAGGCTGCCGAAGGCTATATACAATTAAATGAGATTGAGAAATGAATACAATGACATATTTTCAAGACTTATTTTATTAAAGCAATTTATTCATTCAAATGTCTATTAAATAGATAATCAATTTAAGATTCTAAGCCACAGTAGCAGAACCTGATCTTGATATATTTGTATTTATTTTCCTACTTGGAATGTCAATATAAATAGACGAATGTTGAATATAAAAATAAAATATTAAAAATTGGCTCTAAATTTGAGCCTACCTTTGTTGTCCAACTAAAAACCCACAGGTCGGAAGTGGTCGGCCAGATCAGTGAACAAGGTGGTTTTTGGTTCAACACTGGGCGTGGGCCCTGCGATTTTTTCTAGCCAAAGACTACAGGCTTGTCTCAACTTTGGGATTTTTAATTTATTTCGGCAGGCTGCAACAATATTCATTTTGGCCACATTAATTCCTCTATCTGTTTCAGACTATCCTTTATTTTATTTATTTTTACGACCTTCTCTTCCCTAGTCTCTTGAAGTGTTCTATTTCTCTATCTGTCCCAGGCTATCCATGATTTTATTATCCATCTTTACCAGGGGCGGATCAAGAGATGTCCGAAGGCGGGGGAGACAACACTACCCCAAGAAGGTCCCAGCCAATTTTTGTTTTCTAGACGGCCAGAAATATCCTCTGAGGTGTTTTGGGCGATCAATAAATTTTTTTTATTTTACGAAAAGGTGGGGGGGGGGGGAACTGGGGCTAGCTCGCCCCCCCCCCGCCCTTATAAATCCGCCCCTGTTTAAGTCCATCACATCTCGAGTCATCTGAAGTATTTGATTCCTCCATCTGCTCCAAACTATCCATGATTTTATCCATCTTTATGACCTTCGCTTCCCGAATCACTTGAAGAGTCTGACTCCTCCATTTCTTCCAGGAGGCTTGGCTCCCGATGCATTTTCTTAAGATTCAAGAATGAATTTATCTTGTTGGCAATCTCATGATGTTGCCTGAAAGAAAAGAGAGACACAAAATGATAAAATAAACTAAAGCGGACATTCAACATTACGCTGATCATGTGGTAGTGTCGGTCTTTTTGTGGTGGCACATCAACAACGTACCTTGTATCTGAACCAAGTGTGCATGTATCTGTTAATGGCAGAGCGATCCCCGATGCCATCCTCAACACGACATAACAACCTTTTCCTAATTTGGTAACATCCTCCTCTACATCAGCGTAAATAACTTCTACAATATCTGTGACAACTGAAAAAAATAAAATATATTCATTACTACAAAATAAAAAGATTCTGTTGTAATAAAGATTCAAGAAATATAATGTCGGGAAGAAGATACTCTTTCTTCATAAAAATCTAAATTCTTTCTACACTTAATTAGGCCTAGATTTATTAGGGACGTTTCACTTCCACAGTGGAAGCTTTTTCACACTAAAAACTCCTAACTAAAATTAATAAATTAACAAATATTATATTATTTTGAAGAAACTTACCAAAGCTAGGTGGTAACAGTCCACTGAACAACATTCGTATAAGACCAAATCTACTTGTTCTCACTTCACCAATCTTCTTATCAATTATACAATCCTTAAAAACAATTTCATATTTCAAATGTAGCAGGTGGTTAATATACTATTAAATTTAATTTTAGATAAAAAAAAAAACCTCCCTTAATTAGTAAAAATAATAAAAAATAATATCATTAATGTTTAAAACTCCTAAATTTTAGTATGCCTTAATTAATGTACTATCATGATGAACCATACTGCAATTTTTTTAAATTGTGCAGATGATACCTCAAAAACCAGTTCATTGCACGGAAAATTGCTACAAAGATAGGTGTGCAGAATGGCCTCGCCACGCCCCTTGAATCTACCACAAGTGAATGTTCTTCAACCATGTTTTACTGTTACGGTCAAGTCAAACTAACCTCCCAATCATCAATACTTGTTACACCTATCATTATACAAAAAGAAATATACAAAAGTTTCCATGGCAATGTGTCCTGTGTGTATGTCCATGCACCAATACCAACAGAGATAAATCCTAAGGAAGAAAAAATAATTTAGCTTGTTATATTATGCGGATAAGATTATATTTTTTATGCATCTGTTTTAATTGATGAAAAACACAGTTTATATTACTTGGCTAGCCCGACACAAGTGTTGGTTGATCTTTTCAACCAAATTTACTTTTTGCGCTGTTGCCTCTTTCATTGTTAACATGTTAAATTACTATTACTGATACAGTTATTCCAATATTTTTATTGCTAATTTCAATATTTTCTACTTGTTTAAATATTTAAGAAAGGATGAAAAATATAAATGTTGATATTGATTGATGAAAATAATGACGATCATGATTGGATTGCTTTCCAGTATTATGAATAAATAATAGCAATAACAATTAATACTGTAATACATAATATTAATACTAAAGTGCAACCGTAATATACAGTACCAATATAATACTGTAATAATAATACGGTAACATTTAAAATTATAATTCTCTTTTTGTATTATGAGGTACGGTATCACTAAAGCCGTGCATTCACTGCCTCATATGACTGCCGTACGACAAATCCAAATCTGCTCCCTGCGAGCGCTAGACGACACAAGCCATCTGCTGATTTTCGGTGGCAGTCTGAGGCAAGGCAATTCAACAAAAGGACGCACATCTCGGGACATCAAAGGTTATAACTCTGGCATCCATCGACATTCTAGGCGCCGCACGTCCCTACACATTGAAGATCACAAAAACCATAGCAACGAGACCACAATTAACTGTTAGCATGTGACGAATTACCAACGCGCGTGTTAGTTGCCATGATAATTGCGCGTAGTGTGGTGATTACAAAGGCCTAATGATATTTTGCACTACTTTAGACTGAAATTATATTCGATATTTCAAAATTAATTTTACCCATGTTGTGGTGTATTGTCATTCATGAGACTCACTTCGCAGAAAAATAAATAAATTTTCTGTATCTACTCAAATGTTCGTTTTGTGCACCTTTAGTCCAACATTGTCAAAATCACAATTGTTTCATGTTACAGTATATAAAAACATGAAATTTTATAAAAATCGTAAATTTTAAACTGCTATAAGTTTTCATTTTGTTGGTAAATTTTCACAAATCAAATTGCAGTTTATAGAAGCATTTAACAAGCTTGTGGTCAAAAGAAATCAGATGTAACAGACATTGCGAAGTACCCAAAAATAATAATAGTCTATGGCACACATAGACTAATAATTGACGGCTGTCAATGGTCTGTGGCACCAGTGTCATTGCGTTGCGTTCTTCATAGAATGGCAGTGAGTACTCGGTTTTTCAGTATGTCACTTTTCAGGTATAAGGCCCTATAAAAATATTATTAGTTTATCACCCTATCTGGGCAGGAAAAGTGATGAGGGAGGGAGGCTTTTTTTTTTACTTTTTATTTTACTAAAGCCAAATATCACCCTAGGCTTTTTACTTTTTATTCTTGTTGTTTGCTGGTGCATTGATATTCAAAGTAAAACATGATTTAGATAATGCAAACAATATCTACTAACTATTTAATAAAATAAATAAAAAAAAAATTAAAACAAATTTTTTTTTTCCAGTACCATTGAAGACATGCGTGTGGGGTGATAAACTAATAATTTTTTTTATTGGGCCTAAGAGTTGTTCCCTTCCCATTAACAACGTGTTTGAACACTCTTACACTCAATATATAATTGCGTCACCATTAGGCCGACCAGCCCTCCATAAACTAACGTTAGATTACCGCACTTTCGGCTGTAAAGAACAATTAAGACCTCATAAAAAAGGCAACTAATCCGTTTACCTATAATTGAATCCAAGGACACCACTGTTAAACACTCAGTACTTATCCTTGATAATGTGTTAATCCAATTAATATAGTGAGATAACGTAACGTTAGTTTATCGAGGGCGGGTTGAGCTAATGCATACCTATCAGTATGCTCCACGACCTTGCACCTGGTGTTCTTTTTAGATGAAGCTCGTTTTCAGTCTCGGATACCACACTCATATAGACCATCCTAAACTTTGTTGGTTCTACTGCAAAAAAAATATTAATTATATTCATGTATGAAACTTGCCACAGATTATTAACAAAGGTAAAACACCACATTGTGACTGTATTAACGTCATATAATTTACACCATTCTCAGGGGCAGATCCAGAATTTTCAAACCAGGAGGCGCAAAATTTTCAAAGTAAATAAGAGAGTAGCGCTAATTTCAATACATAACATTGATATGAATTGAAATTTTAAAATTTAGTGGCAAAAAATCAATACATAACATTGATATGAATTGAAATTTTAAAATTTAGTGGCAAAAAATGGCGGGGCGCAAATCATGGCCATATAGCTATCGTATAGCTGTCATATATTGATGTACCCAGAGTTGATGTACCGAATATCGATATTAATTGATATACCACTCTGAATATTTTACACCTCCCTGATGGATATAGGCCTATACCGAAATAAATACTGACGCTGACTGTAAAATATAATAATAAATATACGATCATTTTTTCACGATTTAAATCCTGTAGAATGTTGAATACATTTAGAACGCAATAAAAATGAATCAAAATAAAATGGATCGTCTGGAAATAGGCCGATCGTCCTAGGCCAAATCGTCTCTTGGCCCGTAGCCTGTCAAACGATAAGTCCACAGGAAAAGCATCTGATCGACCGTCGTCGGACGATGGATGGGCGAGCAGCAGCCGAGCCTGCGATTGACTTTCTTTCTAAACTAGGTTGAACATCAATATAACACAAACAATACATATATAGGCCCCTAAGTGAAATAATAATCAAACTGTTACTACTGTGAAAATATAGGAGATTAAATAAACACTAGTAAAATAAGGACACAAACAACTTCTTTAGACGAAACCGGTCAATACAACACCATCGACTGCTACCCCTTCTTCGAGCGAATGTTAGTCCGAGCAGATGCATTTCCAGCGAAAAGGGATACAGTTTTGCGAATATTAACTTGTGCGAATTTCCCTAATTTGTCCGAACAGGGAGGGGGCATAAAAGTGAGTTGGAGGCGCTAGGTACCAGGTCGCTAAGTGTGGTAGTTTATCTACTTGAGCCGTGGTTCTTTTTTACTTCGAACATTTTCAATGTGGTGGGGGAGGGGGTGGATAGCCTACATACGCCACTGTTCTGCTGATAACTTTGTTATTTGCTATCGTACACTTCTTCTTTTTTGGACCGAATAAATGAAATGAAAATTTGACGTATTAATATATATATTGTATGCTGCTCTAGTACCCACCTGCATTTACAGTTCAAATGTCGCTGAGTCACCTCCTCTACACTATGATGTTAGCACCTAATTGACACCTAGATATATATGTAAGTAAATATCAGTTATTTTAAATACCTTTTTTAGAATGTATTGGTTTTACTCTGCATGTAGACAGTACACCTTAAACTCCTGTATATGTTAAAGTGTCTCATCTTTTTTGCGCATCTTTCTCATTATATGTTTTCTTTTGTATATATAGGCCTATATTTGACTTATATTTTGTTAACTTATATTTTATATATATTGACTTTTATGGGAACTTGTACAAATTACATTCATGTGATTTTTTGCATGATATTTTTAATAAGATTAAATAATAAAAAATGATAATAATAATAATAATAATAATAATAATAATAATTATTATTATTATTATTATTATTATTATTATTATTATTATTACTATAATTATTATTATTATTATTATTATTATTATTATTATTATTATTTCCATTTACAAATACTGTATAGGCCTATACAGTTGCAATTAAAATACAGTATAAATCCAATTACAGTTGCAATTACAATCATAATTATAACTTGTTTTTTTTTCACTACAAAATCCTAAATTGGACACAAAAATGTAAATTCAGAAACCATATCACAATTAAATAATTTTTTATAGGTCAAACCTTAGTTACACAGTGCATTTGGCATTAATAAAAAAAATTAAAAAAACAATCTTATGCTTTTTGTGTAAATTCGCCCTTGTTATAGGTTCGCAATAAATGCATCCGCTCGAACTGGCATCCGCTCGATCATCGACTCCGTTCGCTCGAAGTAGCTTTCTCGGAGTGGAAACGCGGAAAAGACTTTGTTTTTATATTTAAAATAGGTCCACAGCTAACTATAGTTCTGGCCAATCAGATCTAAGCGCAATGACTAAACGGCCATGCTTCAGTGAGCACTACGGTGAGAAAACGACATGGCTTCCAATTTCAGTGGGGCGCTCCGCTTAACAGATTTAGATGATTTTATAACACCTTCCCAGGTATTTTGTGAAATTTGTAATATATTTATTAATTAATCAAGCCTAGGCTAAGCGAAGACCTCTGTCTAGCCTAGCTAGGCCTAGGCCTAGGCCTACTACTACTCTGAGGCCTAGGCCCAGTTAGTGACAGTGTGTGACCATGGTGTGACGGAGTTGAGAAAGCCCTGGTCTCCTAATCCTGTCTTATTAGTGCCTAGGCCTAGTACACTAGTGTGGCTGACAATGTAAAATTCTCTAAATTGTACTGTATTTTAGGAATGTGTGAAGCCAGTAAAAGTCAACAGAATAAGTGGGAAGACTGCAGCTATCAAAATTGAACCTGATGGAAGTTATTTTCAAGTTGAAAAGGTAGGCCTCCTAGGCTAGGAGCTAGGTGATAAGAAACTTAAAGAACCAGGCCCGGGATTTATCAATCTCAAATGTCTTAAGACAAAAAAGTTAAGATGTCCCTAAGCAAATATCCTAAGCTGAATTATCAAACCACCTTAGCAAAATTTTTATACGTCAAATTTTGGCTACATCGTCAGACTTTTCCAGTCCAGATATGCCAATTTTAAAGTAACTTTAACCACACGAGTCGAAGTTCCAAATTTACTAGCGCACAAGGGAAAAATACACAGAGCCGTGGGGAAATACAAAGTTCAATCTTTGTTGTACGGCAACAAGTTAGCCATGTCAAAACTAACATCTCAGACAGTCTCAAACGTTTACTGGCGTGTCATTTTTATCAATAGATAATGCGACTACAATTAAGATCTCGTTTTCACAGCATCTAGTATGCTTGTCATTAAACAATGTCTATTTAACTGATCGTCAGGTTTTTTGCCATGAATTTTGTCGTCCTTAATTGAGTACACATAGCATCTTCGTTAATGTTTGTTTCTCGAAAATGTGCAAGTCAAAACCTGTATAACTTGAACTTTTTATGCCAGTCACTTTAGATTTGACTTATGCGGACTCGACTGTACAGTATTTATTAGAATAAGTGCCCTGATGAGAAGGGTTCTTGAGGGAGCCATTTATTCCAAAAAAATGAGGCTGTGGAGGGGTAATTTATTTGAGGGAGGCATTTATATTATTCAAAGTGACTGGCTGAATCTACAGTAGCCATCTTCTCAAGTACCAACACACACTTATAACGAAAATTAACTTAAAACAAAATTAATTTAATGATGACCAGTATCTTTCTAACTTGTACTTAATCATGTTACTTTGTTCAAGGATGGACTAGAGACAAAGCTAGAGAAAGCTCAGATTACTCTTAACGACTGCCTGGCATGTAGTGGTTGCATCACCTCTGCTGAGAGTGTCCTAATTACGCAGCAGAGTCAGCAGGAATTATACAGAATTTTAGGTGAAAATAACAGTCTTGCTGCAGTAAGTTTCTCTGTCACTAAAGCTAGGTACTCACTGCGTTGACAGTCGTCAGCCGACGCGATTGTATGGTAAACACGCTCTCAATGGATCATTTTTAATGACGATCCACTGACAATCAGCAGACATCCTCGTATGGTCTGGCCCTCACAGTGAGTGGAGTTGGATTCGTTGTACGCCCGTCACGCAACTCGTGAGCGCCCAGCATTAGATATACTTAAAACTCATTAAACCTGAACTAGCTTCTCTTAACTTTGGACCCTTGTATGTTGTTCAACACCTTTCATCTTTTTTCACCATTATTAATGACACCATCTTTTTAAACAATTTTAACACCTTCATCATCTATATCAACATCATTATTCTGATACCCTATCATCATAATTATCCTCTTCCTCATAATTATCCTCCTTCTCGTCTTCATCGGATCCCCCATTGTTACCTTCGTGCATTTGAGTGTTTTAGTCCCCAGGGAATTTTAGAATGAATCTTTCAACTTGCAGGATGGGAAGTCAAAGCGGAAGTTGGTGGTAGTGTCCATCTCACCGCAGTCAAGGGCGTCTTTAGCTGCCAAATATAAAATAACCTCTGAAGAAGCTGCTTGTAAACTCACAGGATTCTTAAAGAAATTAGGTTTGTAGAGAAACATTTTAATAATTAGTTTTTCTTGTGTTTTTTTTTTCTCAACCCTTCTGTCCTGTTTTCCTGTTTTTTTTGCACAGGGTTTTTCTGTCTGGCACTTTTGTCACTTCTTGCTTGGATATACTTCAAACTTTTTCCAAGCAGAAATTATATCAAAGATGTGCATATTAAAAAATGATGTCATTCTACATATTTTCAATATTAATAAATGGGTAATTAAACTTTTATTTTAACACAATTTGCGTTTTCTAACAGCTTTCGTTCTAGTCTCACTGACTTTGAGTTGGTTTTTATGTCTGTTTTTTTTACTACATAATTTATTATAGTACGATGTAAATGTCCATCCCCCTCCCCCACCTCGACTGGCGCCATTTTTTACGGTATTCTGGAATGGCTAAGTGAATTAGCTAAAGCTTCTTTATGTAGGGGGGAAAGAGTTAATTATCTGTGTTTGTTGTGTTTAGGTGTTGACTATGTATTCGACACAACTTTTGCTAGGAATCTAAGTCTGCTGGAAAGCCAATACGAGTTTATCAGACGCTTTACCAATAAATCTACGAAGGGCTCACTACCAATGCTAGCCTCTGCTTGTCCAGGTAAGTTGTGATTGTTTGAAAAACATGGTTTGATTTACTAAGTAAATATTATAAAAAATTAAGAAATTAATAAACATTGTATTCATGGACTGCACTAAGTTGGCTGCTACCTATGTATATTACTGTATGTGTATATATATGTGTACGTACATGTATGTCATATGACATGTTGGAAAATCTTTTTATACGGAATGACCTTTGGCTAAACTGTGCATAGACCCACTCTCTTTTTCCGATTTTCCTTTCTGTTAATCTGATCCAGTCTTAACACTCTGACCGCCAGGGGCTTAAAAAAATAGTATCAGCCACCGCCACACTTTTTAGCAAATTTTAACACTTTTCTAAAGCTTGTTGAGAGTGCGTATGTGATCAGATTGACATGTAGTGAATACTACAAGAACTACAAACATTTTGGCGTTACAATGGTAGCAAACACATTATTCTAATCACAATCTGTGACCCGTAACAGTAAAATGAAAATGACTCACTTTTGTAGATTTATGCAATTTTGCACAACGAAGCTGAGGTAATCGCGATTTTGTGAAAGTAAATTAATACCGCTCTACGGTAATGTAAACAAACAAATAGTGAAATACTTACGGTCCAGACTGAATATAGTGTTCAAATTGTTAAAACATGTCGGTAATTCCATCTATCGGATTCCATTAAAAACCTGAAATACGGAGATCTCAGTGTATTGCGGGCAGAGTGTTAATATATTTCCCACTGGACTTTTGACTGTTCTACGAAATTCACTTAGGATCTGTCACTTATATTTGCCTTTCTGCCTCTAGGATGGGTTTGCTATGCTGAGAAGACACATGGAAGCTATGTTCTACCATACATAAGCACAACCAAGTCACCGCAACAGATTATGGGAAGTCTAGTAAAGGATTACTTAACCAGGTTGCATGGACGAACCCCTGATGAGGTGTATCATGTGACTGTGATGCCATGCTTTGATAAGAAGTTGGAGGCCTCAAGAGAAGATTTTTTTAACGATATTTACAGTACCAGAGATGTCGATTGTGTTATAACATCTGGTGAGCAATAGACCTTCTTGAAGTGTCAGTCAAAACTAAAAACTGACCAATCAGAACAGGGCCAGGAATACACGCATGTTACCTCAGCAACAATATCCAAGGGGTGTGGCTTAGTGTGATGGTCCATTGCAGCCAAGATATTTTAGGTTGCTATGGATAATGGGAAACTTTTTTATTCCTTGATTCGCGAACCTATGTCTTACAGATCATTAGAAGTGGGTGGAAAAAAATAAAAATAAAATTTTGTTTTCTTGTTTAGCAAATAGTTTTTGCAAAAAACATCCACACAGCCAAACATGACATCATTTGCACATTATGCAAATGAGAGGTCAAAAGTATGACCATGTGTACAGTACGTTCTATTGTTTAGTAAGACTGTTTGCAGTACAGTGTTAAAATTTATTACAGTGCACAGAATCCTCAGCCCTTGCAGATGTCTTTTTTAATAAATAATTTTGATGTTGATAATGGTGGTGATGATGATGATGATGGTGATGGCAGCAATACAGATGAATATAAATGTACATAGAGTGTCTGAAATGTATGATTGCTGTCTATAGAACTAAATGCAAATTAATGTAGACATAATACTTTGTATAGTTCAGTAACATATATTTTTTATTTTAAAAAAACAATGAACATTGTGACATCACCTAGAAAACAACATGGCTTGTAGCATAAACAAAACAACATTCAACAATAATGTAAATTATAGAATGGTTATTATTTGAAAAAATATTTTAGATAATAGATTATAGTTATGGTAGTATTTGTGATATTATTAGTTACTTTTACAATATTTTTTAAATTTAAATTAAAACCATAAAGACTATAGATTTTGTGATCATTTTTCTTAACTATGAAAAAGATGAAAAGATGTTTTTTTTGGAATTAAATCAAAACTGTCACTCTTTTAATGGTTTGATAAAAATTTGAATAAATGTCTATAAACCAGATAAATATCTGTAATTAAAGTATTACTCTTGTTACTGTATTATGTATTTAGGCCTTTGACAATGTTTCAGTTTTATTTTTATGTTTTAATAAATTTGTTTTGTTTTTTACCAGCTGAAGTTGACATGATGCTTGAGGGAGAGGGTTTGTCATTGGCTGATGTTGAACCTAGCAAATTAGATTCTTTGTAAGTTTTTAATCCATTACAATAATGTCAGTAACATGCAATTTATGCATTGTAAGTGGATTTCCTGCAGGATTAAATATCGTAACAGCACTGGGTTTGGTCTAAAGGAGTTTGTGCTTCAAACATTTCATTCGATTCATAGAAAAAGGATTTTGATAGAGAAAGGGTATCTTTTTAGCAAGGTTTGCCTAGGTCGAAACTAACTTCTAAGTTGATTAGAAGATTGAAAATGTTATTCTTGTTATTGAATAGATTAAGATTAATACTATGTCCATTTTATTGAGTAGATAGAGTTTATATTTAATTAATTAAAATTGTTTAGATATTGAAAAATATATTTTATGAAATAATATAATCGTTAAAGTTCATGATAATATTTGATAATATTTAAATAAAGCAAAATTATTGAAATATGTTAAATACAGACACAATGTACTGTATACACCGGCCCATTTCTAGAGTACAGTTAAAAAATATGAAAATATGTATATGTATATGCTGTCTCTTATGTTGAAGATCTGTCTCTTATACACATCTAGATGTGTATAAGAGACAACATTTATATAAGTATTATGTGTAAATATGTATTTAGTAAAATAAATTAAATTTAACGAAAATTTGGAAGAAGCATAGGAAGAAAGAAGAATAGGAAAGAAATTTGGAGCGACTGAAATATTGGCTATCGTGAGTGGATTTCCCGCACAATTAAAAATCGTAACGGTACTGGGTTTGGTCTACAGGAGCTCATAATAATCCTTATCTATTCATTAACAAGAATAACTTTTTCAATCTTCTAATTGTCAGAGGTCAAGGTGCCGGACGCCTACAGTACATACTTCATATATTCGACAAATTTTTTTTCATGCTGTCCTTGGAGATCAAATTAGGCTTTTGCTTTAAAGTGTTAAGTAATTATAGTTTATGTTCTTTTTCCATTTCCTTCAGATGTAATTCTGATACTGAGATTGTGAATCATGCCGGGGGAGGGTCAGGTGGGTATCTGCACCACATATTCCATCATGCAGCACAGCATCTATTTGGCACCAAAGTAGAAGATATGCAATATAAAACATTAAGGTGAGAATTACTACTGTAACAGTTATTAACAAAATTTACCATACCTACTTCAGCAGTACGACTATTTTAGATTTGATTAAATCTCTTTTTTTTTTCTTCCTTTTTTTGGAATGGCACCACAAGCAACGACTGTTAGAGTGGTGCCATATAAATGAAACATATTGATTGATATAAATTGCTAAAAACAGCTGTTTTTCAGTTGCAGAATTTGCAAAGAGAGGCAATAATTAAAGGAACTAAGCCAAATAAAGGAATATTGTAGTTGCATAATTAACACCAGCATATTTCAGTTTTTGCAAAGTATAAATCTAAAATTGAAAGCCAAGATGATGTAAATCAACATAGTGTGATGTATTTAAAGATTTTTTCTATTGTCCATTTAGAAATCCTAGGCTGAAAAATTTGCGATGTAAAAAATATAAAAATATACAAAATGTAAGATTATAAAAATATATGGATTATACATTATTACCACTTCAAAAGGAATACATATATGGATGAAGACGCGATTCTATAAAGAACACAATGTGACGACGTGCGCGCAACGGATCGTTTTTAATGATGATCCGTTCAGATTGCTACCAACAATCAGCAGACGGCGTTGCATCGTCAAACGCCGTCAATCACTCACGGGGAGCGGAGTTGGATTCGTTGTGCGGCGCTGTGAATGCCCGGCTTTAGTTTATGTCAAGCATTTACACCTCATTTTTTAATAACGTTTATTTCGTACTTCAAAGTCATATGTGCCAAGTTAAAAAAAAATTCATGATCAAATTTCATCAGTTACTTATCTATTTATTCAGAAATAGAGATTTTAAAGAAGTAATGTTAGAACATGAAGGTGAGGTGGTGCTACGTTTCGCCTTGGCCTATGGCTTTAGAAATATTCAGAACTTAGTGCAGAAGCTCAAAAGAGGAAAGAGTCCGTACCATTTTGTTGAAGTGATGGCTTGCCCTTCAGGTTGGTGGATTTATGATTGTTGAAGATGTTATATATCATTTATTTCTTAGCCCTGTCTCATGATTTTGAACAAGCTCGACTAACTATGATGGTGTTGATGATTTTATGTATATTTTCCTTTATGTACCAACAACTTTACCCCCACAGGAAAGATCGGCTGATTACATAGTTAGTCATTAGTAGACCTTTTTTATACTTTGTTTCGCAAACTTATTGTTTTTTTAAAGATCGTCAGAGGAGGGTGGAAAAAAAATTAAAATAAAATTTTACTTTCCTATTTAGCAAATAATTTTGCCAAAAATGTCCAGGAAAAAGTAAAAATAAAATATTATTGATGCATGTGAACAGTGTAGTAATAGGGTGGCTAAATGCTTTAATATTTATATAATTAGGAAGAAATGTACATATGTTATTTTTTTAGAGTTCAAAGCAGCGGCGGGCGTGTTAAAACTAAAGAAAAAATTACATTTTTTTTCTGAAATTTCCATTTTGGCGTGGCAGTGAATGCACTAATTGGCCAAAAATAAAATGTAATTTTTATTCAAAATCATCATTATTGTTTGCGACGGGTTTGTTAAACAAGATATGAAAAAGTCTCGCCTGAAGGTTCTATTATATCTGAGGGGTGTTCATGTATTGCATACATCTGCGTTGTGTATATTAATAAGAATTAAGAATACATGGTATACGAAATGTGGGTGGTTAGAGGAAGACTGAAAACCATTTCAAATAATCAAATAACCTGGTAACCCGGTACCAGCAACTCTCTCTTCCACCACAGGGGCTGTCTGTTCCAGTACACCGGGGTAAACCCCTACTCGTCTTGAAGGATATACTGGGTTCTTTATAGTGCACACGAGCCATTATATACACTGTTGTATAAAATGTCTGATTTATTATTACAGTATTATGATTTTATTATTGTCAGGTTGCTTGAATGGTGGGGGTCAAATACGTCCAACAGATGATGAAACAGCCAAAGATTTACTAGAAAGGGTACAAAGGTTGTACTCTGATGTTAGAACAATTCGGCCAGAAGACAATACTGATGTCGAGAAGCTGTATGTTGAATGGCTGGGAGGAAGCGAGACAGAAAAAGCAAAAACAATGTTACACACACAGTACCATAAAGTGGAGAAAATGACAAATGCGCTTACAATAAAATGGTGATATATATATATATATATATATATATATATATATATAGTGTAAATTAATATCACTGTTTCAGTAACCTGGTGGTTTTTAATAATAATAATGATAATAATAATAATAATAATAATAATGTAATAATAATAATAATAATATAGGTTTTTTATTACGCTCTATGCAATTAAGTTTTAGAGCGCTTTACCACATTATTACCTGTCATTGGAACGATGCCTATGAGGAAATTCCATAGTTTGCTGCATGAAATATATCAGTGCATGTTGCACTCGAACCTCCTAAGGTGCCCACTATACTCCTGGGTGGAGAGAAGCAATGCAGATAAAGTGCCTTGCTCAAGGACACAAGTGAAATACACAGCAGCGAGGGATTGAAACCCTGACCTCAAGGGTGGAAACAAAACCTGTCCAGTTACGCCAAACGTTTCTAACTCGTTATTAGATTTGTAAATGAGGAGATTAGACTTCATAACTTTCAACAAGAAAAAGATTTAATGTGCAAAAACTCGGAGAGCTTAACAGCTAGCGAGATACAAAACCTTCTTGGCGGTTTGCCACAGGATGCATATACGTTTAATTGAGAAATTGTTTTTCTGTGTTACCAGAAATAACTACCTCTTAGATTTACTGTATTCACATTTGTTTGACAGAATATGGAAATTTTCAAATGCATTTCTGAAAATTTGACAAAAAGAACTTCCATTTACTCATGTCATTTGCAAAAATATTTTCATTAAAAAATATAAGTTACTACTTCTGAGATGTTCTGCTTTTCTCTTTATATTCTCTCTTTTCCGTGATATTGGCTATTTTTCTATATACCCTCTACTATTAGGGGTGTGGCTAATTACCGGTAGGTCACCTCATGTTTTTAGGGTTTCTGATTTGATAATAAAAGAAATAATAGAGAAATTCTTTGATTTAACAACTTGTTTGTTGCATTACCCTTAATTTTGATGGATTGAAAATATTGGCTCCATAGTGTCACTTATAGGATTCCAATCGTTAAATAATGTATCAGTATTGAATCCTAATAATACATTACTGTACAAATGTTTACAGAATTTAATGGCATATACGCCATTTGACAAGTAAAAATGTGTACACCATATAAATCCTCACCGATTTTAGAAAAGCCCTTGAAATTTATAGGCCTATATCCTTAGTAACACATTGAGCCATTCAGAAAAATTAATGCTTACATAATGGCTTTACGTACAACGGTAATGATATCTAAAAAATTACTTGAACAACAATATAGGCCCTAAGGACATCTGAAAACTTAACACCAGTATACACCACAAAATTTCCCCAATGATAAATATTCTGGTGGTGAATTGGGAAATACCAGTACATCAGGAGAAAACCAGATTCCTAAATTTTCTTTATTAAACATATTAGGGCAGGATAAGATTAATTACTTGCCAATTTTAACACATAAAATTATTTTATTATTTTATTTAATAAACATATTTAGGCAGGATAACATATACAGATGGTTACGTTGTTTTACAATATGGTCATGCAAAGATAATATACAGTACAATATACAATGTGACTACCTAAAAGAATACTGAAAACAATTAGACTACATAAAAAAAAATAATGAGCATCATTAAATTACAAGAAGGTTAACATTACCGTATTTGTTGTACAAATTAAAAGTTAAATGTGACTGATGTAACATTAAAATGTATTTATAGATCATTGTCATGCTTATATGTATTTAGGTATTTTGAGGTAAATCAAAACCCATAAGCAGGGGCGGATCCAGAACTTTTCAAAAGTGGGGAGGGGAGCACACAAATAGATCAAGTTTGTGCATATTCCAATAAATAACATACGTATGTATTGGCAAAACGGGTGGTGCTCCTCCCCTTAAGTCCGAAGACTTGTTTTCAGAGGGGTCTTTTTGGTGGTAAATTGGGCAGTACACCGGGAGACAATCCCCTTCACTTTTCCGAGGAATGTACTGCACACATAGTGGCTACCACCAGTTTAGCCGACTGAGCTAAGCTGCTCTGTATATTGTTGATAATGTATATACATTTTTTAAAGTAAAAACAATTGGTTTAACATGGAGAAACATTGTATTGGTTGGTTAATGATGGGGATGTGCATATACAGAAATTAACCAACGTATTGAAATGTCCACGAAAGTCTCCAATCTTTATCTGTCTTCAACTTTAATACGCTTGGTGTAGGCTCTACTGAATGTCACTTACATGATTGCTGAACTTCTTCTTAATTTCCTCTCGTACCTGTGGCATAATAGACCATCCCAGACTGTCAAACAATATTAACAACTGACCAATCAAAACAGTGCTAGGAATACCGTCCTATACAAACACACTTTTAGTTAACCGCTTTTCAATGCAATCATAGGCGTAGATCCCGGTGGGGATGGGGGATATATCTCCTCCCCCCCCCCAATATTTGACAAGGGTGGGATGGTCCATTGTATCATCCCCCCAATATTTTGACTATGTATGGGATAAAATGGAGCAAGACTGTCACAGAAATAATTTGCAATGTTTTATGCGCTTACAAAGATGAAAATTAGCATAATATAATGTTGATAACAAAATTATTTTATCTGGTACCAGTCTAATCTCTTCTTTCCTTAGATGTTAGATGTGCTTGCAAAGCAAGCCGCATTTTCACACTGAAGGGTGTGAACGACATCAGTAATTTTATGTCAATTCCAAGAATTTTCGATCATCCCCCCCAATGAAAAATACTTTTCTACGCCACTGAATGCAATAACAATTAGTAACATTCACTCACCTCTTTGCTGAAGACACACTGCGAGATCCATATTAAGAATCCTTGCATGGAATTCAAGATAACAAAGATGTATTCCATTATCTTCCAGTCACAAAAGACGATGATGACACCAAAAATCCACGCAAGTCCAACAGCTGGTGTTAGGATTATTATACCACCAAAAATAGTTCTTTTATTTTAAAAATAAATAAATTTTAACGTTAAAATAAAAATATGAATTGAATTTTGATGTTGAATTATATTAGCCCAACTGAGAAAGAATTGTAAAAGAGTAACTCCGGTTAATCAGCATAAAAAAATCAGCTAATACAATTCATCAAACTTTCTTAAAAATGAAATAAAAATATATGTGTATGATAAGTTTTCGCGAATACTTGCATCATTTCTACAATTCAACAGATGAATTTCTACAATTGATTGTATTTTCATTTATTTGTTACTAAATCTTTTAAATGTTTTTATATAGCTAAATACTAAACGTAGAGTGCACAATTACGGGTGAATATGAAATCGTATTAATATAAAATATTTTTATTCATATCTTTATTATTATTTTTTATACTAAAACCTTTTAAGTTAAATTTATCTTTGTTGATATTTTAATCTTATGAACATCACTTACTAACCTGATTCGTTTAAGTTTTCGCATTTCATCTTCAGTTTGGTTCGGTAGTTGGGATTTTGTGTAAGCTACGTAGCCAATAATCACCAACTGTACGAGGACAGTCTAGGAAAGAAAATATATTTCATATTTTGATATGGTAACGGTAGCTGATCAAGCCATAGACATTTCCGTTAAGCCCCGCCCCTTGGATATTGTTGCTAAGGACCCACAAAAGGCCTACGCGAACACGTGCTTTTGTGAGACAACACGTGTGTTTGTGAGACGCGCGCGTATTCCTAGCGCTGTTCTGATTAGTCAGTTGTTAAGTGTGATTAACACTCCAGAAAGGTCTATTGAAAATAAGGCCAAAGGAGGAAAATTTACAAATTAATTGTTCAGACTACATGAGCCACACACTGATTTGGGCTGAGTTAAATGGCTGGAGAAGGCACTCCAACTTCAATTTTTCTTTTCCTTATTTTTAATTTTCAAACTTTTAGAGGGGAGGTCAGAAACCGCCGGTAATTTATATAGTCAAATGTGATTTGTTGCAACAAGCAGCATTCCAGTACGATGAAACTGTACTTTCATACTATAGTTAGGCCTATTCAACATCTATAAAAGTATGCGGTTTTTACAACAGCCACCAAACTGTACCAGGCAACTAAGGTATGGTATGGTATGGTGAATAAATGTTGTGAAAAGACAAATTATAATGGTTAACACAATGTGATATGGAATATAATTAATAAATATCGTTCTTCCATTTCTTTTTTCTTTTTCATTGGTCGCTGTGTTATATTAGTGTTTAGTTAACTGTAGACATTACCATCATCATGACGCACACAGGAACTATGAAAGCCCAGATAGCAAGAGAGCTTGTATCCAACCAGCACCTAGAAAGGATGAGATTAAAACAAACTATATCAATTAAAACAATTGTGTCTCTTCACCCAGGGTTAATTTGGAATGAGATTGGAACAAAATTGGGCAACTGAACTATTTTCCAGGAAGCAAACGTTTGCTACAATGACTGCTATAGATTCAATTTACTTATCCGATGCGTAGTTATTCCTTGTTATACCAGCTGTCGTTCCGACGATAATGACGGGTCCAATCCAGGCAATGTAACGACTGTATACCAAGCGCATTTCATGATCAGCAAACGGATGTTTGATCTTCATGTAAAGATCCGTTGACATAATCAACATCCACGATAAAGCTGCCAAGAGGCTGTAGTGCAGGCATCCAGCAAGAAAACTGCAGGTGATCTGCAAATACAGGATCCGTTATGTTTATCTAAAGCATTTATAACTTTGCTTCAATGAATGATATTGATTAATTTATTGATGTTTGCTTGTTTGATTGATTATTGATTGATTATCTGATGATTTATTGGTTGGTTGGTCAATCGGTCAGACGTCGGTCGCTTGACCATCGAATGGTTTGTTTTGAGTGTTAACAATAATTATTAAATCATACCGGTGTATGGTTAAAATCAAACTCCAGGGACGAAAAAAACAAATTGACACAGAGTAGAGCGATGATCAATTGGCGCAAGATTCTGTAGCGATCTGAGTTTCTTAAATTTCTGAAATAAAATGACACAAGTTATAGTGACACGGAAGAGCAGGCTGGTTCCACTCAAGTATTTTCCCATGGCACCAGATACTTGTCTTCCCGCCCCTGGACAATTATTCTCTTCCCAAACAGCTGCCATCCAAGAATATGTGTTTATGTTTCTATTCATACTTAAAAATTAAATGCATAAAAAAAGATCTATATTATATTTAAAGATAAGTTTCTTAAGGGCTATCCGGTAGAAAATGTCTGGGGAACAACCAGCCCCCAATCTATATAGATAAATATTAACGATTGGACTGGTATTCTATCGACGAAATATTATTGTTGGTAACCGACATTTATATGAAATGTTACATCCCGTACTCGCGCAAATAAGCGCCCGGGCGCTTAAAATATTTTTGCACTTTCTGAGGTGCGCATATTCAAGCGCTTATTTAAATTTGGCGCTTATAAAAACAGAGTGGAAATTGAGGGGGCGCTTATGGAAATAGATGAAAATCGAGGGGTTCTTATGGGAACTTCTTAAATTCATGAGGCACTTTTTGAATGAAAAATGATTATATAAGAACATTACGAATGGTGGTGCGGCAGAAAAAATAATCCTCCAGAGAACATGGATCATAACATGAATGCTGTGAATATTTACATAACAGCAGAATAGCATATGCAATTAGTGGCGGTGGGTAGTGGTTAACTTGTTGGCCATCGGCCGATTGAGATTAGCAGATGGCAGGATCATTGCAGGTTTTCTTGAAAACCCTGATGAGAATGTGCTAAAGGTGCAAATTGTCGGAAAAAGAAAAAGGATTTTGACTAGGCCTAGACAAATATATAAGAGGAAAGTTGGAAATATACTGTCAGTCCAGGGATCGGAGCTCTCATCTGTCCAAGAGGAATATCCTCATTTGATATTGACCGAAGAACAATGGTACAGTATTCCACTCTGGAGCTCAAATCATGCCAACAACCACAGTCCCAGGATTGATTGGATTATTGACTTGCTTTAAAACAAAAATCTTATGATATTATTGAGGGGCGCTTATTCAAACCGGGCGCTTATTCGCGCGAGTATGGTATATATCCCTTTGCATCGGAGGTTGGTACCATTGTACAATCATAAACTAGTTTAAAATATAAATAACATTAAAATAGTTTTAGATGATAAATGTTTAAACCATATCAGTGTTGATAAGATTAAAATCTACATCATGAATTGATTTTGTTATTTATTTGAGGTCAACTTACTTGAAACTGCAGATGATAACTAGGGTCAGGAGGAGAAAACCACTCGATATTGTTACGCCAATCTTCGTAACCATGGACAAGAACTTGTTTTCATTTATCTATATAGTATGTGAAATTTGAATGAACACGAAAAAGCACGTGATAGAAGCTCAACTTATCTTGATATTTTGTTAGAAAATAGTTTTTGTAGGCGTATACGTTTAGTATATTTCATTAATTTAAGTTTTCAATTCTTACAGGTTTCGGTTTCATCAATATGACAAATGACGTCAGGTGAGTGCAAATACACTTCACTTTGCTCACGTGGTCTTCGTCGTCATAGACAGTATTGCATCCTTCTGTTAGCCAAACACTTGAGAATTAACATTAAAAATTGTTTGTTAATATTACTATGAGTGTGTGTGTCACAGTGTGTAATTTGTTTTAACTTAAAATCACTCCTACAAGAATATGGCTGGACAGAATCGGTTAATTTACAATAGCAAATGTGGTACAGGATACCCAATGTATGGAGGTAAACATAGGTGTTGCTTGATTAAACGGTTTGCCAAAAATGCTCTCCTCTACTTACCCTGTTATATCCGTAATCTGCGTGTAGTGACATTCTGGAAATTGATTAACATTGTTTCCTGTTTTCGCATTCTTGAATATTTTTGAAAGAAAGAAAATAATCAAATATAATTCGGCAAGACATCAATGTTACATGTTGTCGTTCTTTCTTTAAAATTTACTTCTGGTTGTATTTACCTTAAGAGAAGGAAAGATGATCACAGAATTGATACTTATTTTCGAACAATTTTTATCGTAAATATGGATATTTACGATATCAGACGCACTTGGTAACAACTCCCCATTGCTGAAAAACAATAGCTTACCAATGAAACGTTTAGCTATGGTATATTTGTCTATGAAGTAATCATTTACAACTATTTATAGTGTCAATTTTCGGTACCACCTAAGAACTGTTGTGTTGAGGGCACCACGACGTTTCGAATATATTTCTTTATTCATCTGAAAAACTATTTATTACCGTCAAAGTGTAGAACGCACACCAAAAACTGTTGGCATCAATTATTGTTTAAACGTGCCTTACCCATTTTCTAGTTGTGTGTTTTCTGGAAGAAAAGTTAGACTTGCAACAAGTTCGAATGGTCCGCCTATACCAGAAAGTAATGGTTAAACATGAAAGCAATGTCATTTAAGAGCCGGAAACAATTAATTCCGCTTTTAAAGATTTACAGTCCGCAAGAATACACAATTGAAATTTCATTTGGTTCAGCATTTAAATACTATTATTAAGTATTTCCAGAATTTATAAATTCTGTACTAAAACTTCTGTCAAATTTAATTCTACACACCTTCTTTTAATGTGGTATCAGTTGAAGTCGAGAATATGACACTTTCCTGTCCTAATGATAGAGGAATATTGGTTACTTCAGGTATATCGTCTCTAGTGAAGTTAACTGCAATGGAAGAGTTTATAATTGACATCGATTGGATAATAAAATTCCACAAAAAATCTTAACAAACCCTTCTTAATGTCGATTATAAAATTGAAACCCACGTGCTTGCTACAAGAGTACAGGCAGTAATAGTAATAATGGTCAATGGTCATAGTAATATTGTAAATAATGACCAAAAAGGGGATATATTCAGGGGAGATTTGCTGGCGAAAGCACTAAGGTTAATTGATAATTTGCCTGAATATACGGAAGCAAATTTAATAATAAAGAGGGAACTCTCATTCTTATAGACTTCGCCAAAGCTTTTGACTCAGTTGATAGGCGATTCATAGTGTTGAAAAGTTTTGAGTTTTTTAAAATGTTTTATCATTACTGGGTAGAAGTTTTGTACTGACACGGAGTGCTTCACCTTCAATAACAGCATGAAGTTTTTGCATGAAATGTGGGAACTTTCAAAGATGTCCCCTTTCTGGTTTCCTATTTATTCTAGTAGTAGAATTAATGGAAAATTAATATACGAAACAACTATGTCAAGGTAATGATCTACCACCATTACACGCAACAGAGAATGTAAAAATAGCTCAATTAACTGACGATACTGTATTATTTGCAAAAGATGAAATTAAAATCTTTAAAGAAATCGAATTATTTTGTAGTGTTTCAGGTCTGAAACTTAACTAATAAAAATTCACCAAAATTCGTCAAATATCCGTAGCACCGGTGGCCCCTAGGTGGCTTCCCCTAGCCAAGTGGGACTCGCTTAATTCGCTCGCCTAGCGCCCCCCACCCCCGTCGGGCAGATCCTGGCGCCATCACTGATAAAAATGATACATTGTGGGATCACTTTTATTCAAGAACCAGTAAGAATTCTAGGAATTTTCGTCGGTTATGACAAGAAAACATGTAACACAAAAACTGGGATAATAAAGTGTTAAATTTAGAACAAGTTTTGAAACTTTGGGAAAAAAGAAGACTATTCTTTTTCGGAAGGATTACAATAATCAAAACACTTGCTCTTGCTAACCTTTGTATTTGTATAATGCAAGCATTATAGAAATGCCAGAATTTATTATTCCACGGTAAACAAAATTATATAGGCCCTATCATTTTTTTGTGGAATGGAAAAAAAGAAATAATAAAAAGAAACACGATCATCCAAAAACTAAACAAAGGAGGTCTAAAAATGATAAATATTAATTATATTAGGCCAAAACAAAATAATTTTTGTGTTGGCCGCGTTTTGGAGAAATAAAAAAAAAAAAAATGGGTAGGTCGGTAGGAAAACTATTTTCTTTTTATTTTACAACCAAAAATGTGTTTACGCCTAAAAAGTAAAAAATACACAAATAATACAACAATTTTGGATTCGCATCGCGTATTTTAAGTCCAGATCCCGGTAAATGGAAATGCATTCCATGTTTTTAAATGTACCCAGTAAAGTACACATTAGGTGTGACCGACATAAATTTAGATAAGCATAATAGCGCTAAATAAAATGCTGGTATTTTAAAGGAATTTGCTTCTTATTTGCACACGATTTAATAATATGGATGCCACAATGCATCTGTGAAAAAAAGCAAAGGCTTTGGGAAAATAAAAGCATAAAAATAAATAACAAATCTGTTTTCTGCACAACATGGGTAGACTCACACTTTAAAACCTTGGAGGATATTATTGTTGATAATAGAAAATTGGTGAAATTATCCCCCAGCTTCATGTATGTAGTTACCGGTACTCTATTTTTGGAGTGTCTGTACCCGCCGCCAAAACTCCGATTTTGGAGGTTTTGCGTAATATACGCGAAAACTTCAAAATCGGAGTTTTCAATCTTTCAACCAAACCTCCGATTTCGGAGTTTCTGCGTACTATACGCAAAAACTCCAAAATCGAAGTTTTCACACTCTGAATTAAACCCCGGACTTCGGAGTTTCTGCGTAGGCTTACTATTAAATAAAGAAGCTCTCTCTATATTTAGAGAGAGCAAAACTTTTAATCAACCCTCCGACTTAGGAGGGTCTGTGTACTATTCGCGAAAACGCCAAAATCGAAGTTCGGAACTTTTAACCAACCCCCAGATTTCGGAGGTTTTGCGTCTATTATATGCGAAAACTCCGAAATCGGAGTTTCCAAACAATCAATCAATCACTGAAAAAACATGGAGAAAGTTTAGCAGAGTGAAACTAGTTGTTGGTCAGTCAGTCGGTCGGTGAATCGGGCGGACGGTCAGTCACAGTCAGTCGGGCGGTCACAGTTGGTCGGTCAGTCAGTTGGTCGGTAGATCACACAGTGGCGTATCTATGATGTTAGGTCACTACCCTCGCAAAATAAGGTAATTTTAGGTAATTTTTAACTACTCTAGCGTGATTTTGTGGCGGCCTGCGGGGTGGGGCGCGAGTACGGTACTTTTTGGAAATGAGTGAGCCCCCCACCCTGCGCAGCCCTAGATACGCCACTGCGGTCACAGTCAGTCGGTCGGTCGGCCATTTAGTCAGCCTGTCAATCAATCAGCAAACAAGAATGGAAAAAGTTGAACTGACCATTGGTTGTTTCAAAACAAAAGGTCAACCTGCAAACGTGAATTATTAGAAATAGGCCTACTGTGACGTTTTACCTTGATTTGGCATAGGCCTACTTGTACCATCAGTAGATTTGGTAGGGGCAGCAACTACAAAATATAATTTATTTATTTAGTATGGTTAGGCCGATCGACATATTATATTCGAAAATTCCTTGGCCTAGTATTCCAGAAAGTCAATGTAAATACGAAAAGACCAATTTTGTCAATAATAGTTTGGCGTCGGAGTGCTACTATTATTTTAATGAGTGTGTATAGGCCTACATACACTTGTGTTTTATGTTAAGTTGTACTGTGTGTCATTAGCTAAAAAAATGAAAACTTCGATACTTAAATTGCCTAATTTATACTATGTAGGCCTAAGTTATTAACTCACAATTCAATAATTGAATGAAATAAAAATCTCAATTAGTTAACAGACAGTTAACAGACAATTTCATGCGTTTACTTAGTGTGTTTCTTGTTAATTCTCTTTTGACCGGGAAAATAAATCAATCGCTCTGCAGAACGTTGCATATCCCAAGATAGTAGACTTCAAAGTTTGTGTGTGTTAAATAGTTGAGTTAAGATAAGAGTAAATGCATAGCATTCTCTTGTATTAGTGGATTAAAAAAAAAAAAACACAAATATGTTGATTTTAGAATATTGTTTTTTTCCTAAATATCAACTTACTCTCGCAAATGTGTCCAGTATTTTTCAACTGCCTTAACATATACTCGTCAAATATTGTTCTTTTATCAAATGTTAAGTTTAAGTAAACACCTGACGGGTAGTTACGATGCCACAATGGATGATTCTGTCCCCACTTAAGCCAATCCATAATCGGGTCTCCTTCTGTCTCACCCGATGTCCAAGTCCAGCTTGTTTGCGCCCATCTCGGTCGACCATAATCGCGCTTTAATCCGATGTAGTAGATTTCACAAATGCTATTTAACAATTGGAATTTGAATCTCTTTTCTACAACTTTAAACTCTTCTTCCGATTGGAAACTTACAAGATGACCTCCACTACTGACACACGTATCATTGTGGTATTTCCAAGCTCGCAATCCGTCATAACAATTGAATATGTAACATGATGACCCATACGTTATATTGCAATCCAGATGTGCTGTAAAATGTAACGAATATAAAAGATTTTGACAAACAAAACGACAGTATTGAATCATGGAAATTCGGTTTCCATATACTTATCAGCCTCATTCTATGTGTTTTTTTTTTAAAGACGTTATATTAAACATTTTATGAGCTAAGATACTTGAAACATTAAATTCCATAATTGTATTATTTAATTTGTTTATTTATTAACTTTTAAATGAGCTATTATAAATTTAGATTACATTTTGTAGGTTCTCTGAATTCCGCTTGATCTTGATCAACATGTTGCTCCTGACAAGCATGTAAAATTAAAATATCATGTTACGAGATTCAAGCACAGTTTCTTTTTTACCTATATTTACCAAAAGTCGGCTACTGTCTGTTATATTACGTTTATATATATTTAGCCATAATACACGAAAATAATTAATTAAAATAAAGAAAATGTAACGATGCACTTCGTATGATTGGTTTTTTTATTGGAGTTACTTTTATCTTTGTGAAAATTGCTTTTAATGTACATCAATTTGATCTTTTGTAAAGGCGCTATATAAATGCTTTTTAATAATAATAATAATAATAATAATAATAACGTGAATGACTTATGAATTTTATTTTCTTTTTTTATATCAATCAAATACAGCTCGTAAAATGCTAAAGCGTCTGAGCTTCGGGGAAAGTTTTCCCCCTCGATCCCACCGGGACCTTTGGCAGCACCAAAAGGGCCCACCAGCTACGCCCTTAATGAGGTTAGACAGGTATGAAACACTAGTTTAGAAAATGTAGATTGGAATTATTCCTGGTACACTAAGGTAAACTGAACTTTAAACTAGTACGAGGATAACAAGAATATGAGGCTTCACCTTTTCCTAGTATTCGCGATCCCTATGTAGGCCTATTTCTGAACACTTCCCTAACTTACCGTTAGCTTCAGCTTTACACACAACATAATTTGAGGCAGCAAGTAAAACAATTGTACATTTCCATAACATCTCTTTGATGATGTCACACATTAAAAGGGAAAATGTGTGAGAAGGATACGTTTTATGATTACGAAAAAGTTTCACGGGTGTTGACAAGGATGTTACCTCTGTCTTCCAGTCTATAAGTAGTGTAACCTATGAAGTATTATCTCAGAAATATTATATCAATAAGACACATGTAGCGTATGTATGTACGCATAAGTATGAAGCAACATGATTAAAAATGTTAATTTTTAATAAGCGTTCAATAATCTTCAAAACGAACAAAAGGTACACAAAACCATTAACAAACAACATTTATATAAGGTTCATTCATTATTAATTCAATGAAAGCATCGCTTTTCAACAAATGTCATTTTACTGAGTAAAAATCAATCAATAGCATCATCATAGATCAAATTAAAATTAATATCTAGATGAATTGGTTATTCACATAAAAACGAAGGCCTGTTGGGTTTTTTTTTTTTACTTTTTTCTAAATCGTTGTTCTACAACTACCTGACGTTAGATGAGAATTTAATTTCTTTTAAATCGATTTATGTATATATAACATATTATGAACAATTAATTCCTTTCTAACTTATCGTTACCATTTTAGCTTTGCACACAGCATATGCAGCAGCAAATAAAACAATAGTACATTTCCTAAGTATTTCTTTGATGATGTCACACAATCACTTAATCCTTTATTCCTCGTTAGTCCCCTCCTCATGTCAATATTCATACGCCACTAACAGTGAGCTAAACACTAAACTCAGGAAAGCCAGACTCCTGTTAACAATGCCAGAGTAAGTGGTCGTGTTCTATTAACAAAAATACAATTTCTAAGTAACAAAAGCGGCCGGAAAAATTATTTTTTTATTTAGCAGTCGCGCTGGGTGGATTAAAATCTTTGCAAACCGGAGCAAATTTTAATAAAAGGGTATTCATTATTAATTGCAATAAAACATTGCATTTTAAAGAACTTGTTAGGTAAAAACATCAACGCAACTAAGACCATCAAAATTGCATTAAAATGAAATTATTATCTTGTTGAATTGTTTAGTCATATAAAAGTAGGCAAGATAATTTTTATACATTAAATATGAATGAACAATTTTTGTTCTAAAACTCTCTGGGGTCAGATAGAACTCAGTTTCTTTTTGTAAGTGTATGAACCCTTTTTTTAACCAAATTAAAAGAAGTTGACCCTTCTACCGTATCCTAGAAGGTCGGCTGATATTCATTGGCCTATAAATGCAATTATGTGATGCTTTTATAAGGATTAGGAAGTTTGTTTTAAGCGCCTTTCACATCTATTCAGGTTCCAGTTTTTATGTGCACGGTAGCCTACGTAAATAAGCCTAGGCCTACCGATGGCGAGTTCATTCTTAGTAGGCCTAATTCCTACATATAGTCTAGGTTTTGGTTCCTTCCATGTTTTAGACAAATAATATGAATAGGTCTACCTGATGCGATACATAGGCTTATGGTTGACTAACCTGTTGGCTTGGGGGGGGGGGGACCATTGAAGAAAGGACAAATTTTTGTGCGGGAATAATTAGCACAGAGTGTGTAAATTTATATCACTGTTTCATCCTGGTGGTGTTTAATAATAATAAAGGTGTTTAATAATAATAATAATAATAATAATATAATAATAATAATTATTATTATTATTATTATTATTATATGTAGGTTTTTATATAGCGCTCTATGCAATTAAGTTTTAGACCGTTTTACCGCATTATTACCTCAGTCATTGCCTATGGGAAAACTGCATAGTTTGCTGCATAAAATATATCAGTGCATGTTGCACTCGAACCCCCTCAGGTGCCCACTATACTCCTGGGTGGAGAGAAGCAATGCAGATAAAGTGCTTTGCTCAAGGACACAAGTGAAATACACAGCAGTGCGGGATTGAAACCCCGACTTCAAGGTTGGAAAACTAAACCGGTGCAGTTGCGCTAAACGTTTTTAACTCATTATTAGATTTGTAAATGAGGAGACTAGACTTTATAACTTTCAACAAGAAAACCATTTAATGTGAAAAACAGTTAGCGAGATACAGAACCTTCTTGGCGGTTCGCTACAGTGTCGTTCCCTGCATATACGTGTAATTGAGAAATTGTTTTTCTGTGTTACCAGAAATAACTACCTCATAGATTTATTCACATTTGTTTGACAGAATATGGAAATTTTCAAATGCATTCTTTCAAAAGTATTCTTATAGAAAATTATTTACTTCAAATTAAAAGTTTTAAACAAAGACAACTATTAACCAAATTTTGTTTAGGAATCCTTGATATTGAGATTAAGACAGGTAGATGGTATGGGATTTTGTTAGAAAAAAGATTATGTAAATTATGTTACCGTAATGAAGTAGAAGATGAGTTTTACTTCTTGTTGATCTGTCCTTTTTATAGTAAGTTAAGAGAAAAGTTACAATTATCCAACAGAAACTAAATTTGTAAATTTAATGTCAGCTGACAAATTTACTTTAATTGAGTAAATTTCAAAATATATTTATCTTGCTATTAACAAAAGAAATAACTATGTTAATTAATATTGCGTCTGATTGTGTTAATATTTGTTCTTATACTCCGGGCCGTTGGCCTATGTTTTTTAATAAATACCCTAAACGTTGTGTCTAGGGAAGAATAATATTTAATAATAATAATAATAATAATAATAATAATGATAGTAATAATATGACAATATATTATTATTATTATTATTATTATTATTATTATTATACTTTAATTAACCATTTTCATGTACTTCATGGTAAAACTGAAAATAATGAATTGAATGTTGCATAGTAATAATATCACTAACATTCTACAGTATGAACAATGGTAATGATATCTGGAAAACTTCAACTACATCTCATCTAATAGGATAATTGATAACCCAGAAAATATGACACCCCTTTCTCCAGGGGTGTCCCTTAAGTGGTGAATTGGACAGTACACGAGAGAGAGAATAAACCTACTCATTTCCGATTGTTTTTCTTTGACTCATCTTTCTAAACAAATTACTTAATGACTTTGCAATTTTACTATATTTGGTGCAAGCATGTAACAGGTTAAGACAATCCCATACATGCCTATTTTAACACTGCTGTATAAATTAAAAAGATGTGTCTGATGTAACATTATAATGCATTTTTGAGCCATTAGACAAAATTACCGGTACTGATTATACAGCTATGGCTTTCACAGGCACGGATCCAGTAGGCGTTTTGTCACTAAATATGTATACATTGAAATTTGCACTACTCACTTTTCTATTCTGAAAATGTTGTGTGCCCCCCCCCCCCGGACACCATTTTAAAAATTCTGGATTCACCCCCGGTTCACCATTGTAAAAACTAATTATGCACAATGGTAATGATATCTAAAAAAACTGCTGTTTTTCCAAACAGTACTTTCTTTTGATTGTTTTTCTTTGACTCAGCTTTTAACAAATTACCTTATTACTTATGGCAATGGTCAATGGTCGTGTATTTATATAGCGTCTTCCACAGACAAAAAACATGTCTCAAGGTGATTTAAAGCCATAAGAGACAAAAAACAAAAAGTTATTATTATTTAATGGACTTGCGCGAACGTGTGGTGGACGGTGCAAGCAAGTAACAGATGATTACAATCATATGCATGCCTATTTGAACATTGTTGTACAAATTCAAAAGATGTGTATGACAAAATTACTGCATATTCAGCCATGGCTTTCGTCGTCATTGTAAAAACATTCTATGCACTACGTGACGACGGTAATAATATCTGAAAACTTAACTAAATCTTATATAGGATAACTGATAACCCAGAAAATGACTTTTTCTCCAGTGGTGTCGCTTTGGTGGTAAATTGGACAGTACACAAAGAGACAACTTCCAGTTTTTATAAATAGTTCTTTTCTTTTGACTGTTTTATCTTTGACTTATCTATACTTAATGATTTGACAATTTGACTTAAGTATTTGGTGCAAGAAAGTAAAAGGTGAGGACAATCTTATACATTGCCTATTTTAACACTGTTTAAACAAATTTAAAAAGTGTGTCTGATGTGGTGTAAGGGTGAATAGCTAAGCGGTTAAAATGATTGCCTTCTATTCCCAGAGTCCTGGGTTCAATTCCTGTTACAGCAGGACATTTTCTAACGACTTAAAACAACTCCACCACTTGGTTTATAAAGAACCATCCTGTAAATGGCGAGTGTACTTGCTGCTGGATGAGAAGAAAATAAATAAATAAGTAATGTTATAATGTATTTAAACATTTTCATATGTTATTCGTTGAACTGAGTTTATAATTATGTGTATTGAAGTATTTTGAGGTAAATCACAAAACCCATGAGCTGCATATATCAATCTATATTTTTTTGTGCTATTTTTTTAAAGGCTTACCGTATCGTAATACGTACACACGAGTTCAACTTGCGTTACTAAACTAGGTCGTTATTCTGTATTTAGGAGTACATAACGCAATACTCTGCTATGGAACACAGAATACATTGTTAAATAGTGATGATGTATGTACATTTTTGAAGTTATAAACAATTGATGTGAAGGAAATAAATAAATAAGTAAAGTTATAATGTATTATATTGTCATATGTCATTACATTGTCATATGTTATTCGTTGAACGGAGTTGATAATTATGAGTACTGAAGTATTTTGAGGTAAATCACAAAACCCATGAGCTGCATACATCTATCTAATACTTGTCTTGTGCTATTTTTTTAAAGGCTTATCCTAATACGTACGCACGAGTTCAACTTATGTTATTAAACCAGGTCGTTATTATGTATTTAGGAGTACATAACGCAGTACTCTGCTATGGAACACAGAATACATTGTTAAATAGTGATTATGTACAGGGGCGGATCCAGAGATGTCCAAAAGGGGGGGGGGGCCGAAATTTGGGCCGATCGCGAAATTTGTGTGTTCTAGACGCCCGAAAATAACATTTTAGGCGTTGTGGGCTATTATTTTTTCTTTTTCTTTCTTTTTTCTTCCTTTTTTTAACCTCCCAAAAAGGGGGGGGGGAGGGCCGTCCCCCCTAAATCCGCCCCTGATGTATGTACATTTTTTAAAGTATAAACAATTGATTAACAAGTGTAAACAGTGTATCTGTTTTGTTAAATGATGTACATGTGGATGATTAACCAATTTATTGAACCGATCCACGAAAGTCTCCAATCTTCATCTGTCTTCAACCGTAAGATGCTCAGTGTAGGTTTAATGAATGTCACTTACATGATTGCTGAACCTCTTCTTAATTTCCTCTCGTACCTGTAGTATAATAGACCATTCCACAGTGTCAGTCAATATTAACTTCTCAGAAAAGGGCTAGGAACACGCGCTTGTCCTACAAACACGTGTTATCCCAAGGAACGAACATGTTTTCGTATGTTTTTACGCTGCCGTTTTGTGGGAACCTAGCAACAGTATCCAAGGGGCGGGGCTTAGCGGAAAGGTCCATTGTAAATAAATTTATTTTTAATTTCTTCAGTTAAAGGTTTACAATGCAATAACAATTAAATAGTAACATTCACTCACCTCTTTGCTGATGACGCACTGCGAGATCCATATTAAGAATCCTTGCATGGAATTCAAGATAACAAAGATGTATTCCATTATCTTCCAGTCACAAAAGACGATGATGACACCAAAAATCCACGTAAGTCCAACAGCTGGTATAAGGATTAGTATAC